TTCCTCGCTTCTCCCACGAGCCCCTGTGACATTTTCGTGTATTCCAAATAAACCAGTAATCCGTTTCACAAAACGTATTTATAATAATAATTAAATTAAGCAATGCGCATTACTATAAATGTTATTTATATATGATAAATACTTTCTCGAATCCCTAACTTCGCAATGTCTTAACAATTCTGCCTGCCTTCACAGCTTCCCGATTAACGGATTAAGTAATGGAATGCAACTTAGCAATAGGTTAAGAACTCTTAATGGCGAACAGTCCTAGTTAATATAACATCAGCCCCGCGGTCGCTCGCTCTATTCAGTTCAACGCGGTCGAGTCGGCTGTCCACACCGAAGCGGGGAGAAAGAAAAGGGAGAAATCGCTCTTCCCTGGCAGGGAGGAAGCTCATTTCCTTCCCTCGTTCTGCTCCCCTGGAAGTGAGCGCTTCGGCAAAAGCGAAAACAAAAGCCTGTACTGTTCTCTTTTTTTTTCGTTTATTTACGGCGTTTGCAAAGACTGAGCAAAACGCGTCTATTACCTTCTTTTATTTTATTTATTTTCCCTTCTAGACCAAAGAAAGAGCACGTAGGAAATGGAGCTGAAGGCTGTATGACATTGACTGCAGGTCTTGTATAACTTTACGTATACATTTAATGGAGGAAGCGTGCCCAGAGCACGATTTATTTGATCGTACAAACCACTAATAGACATACCTTTACTGGAACCATGCCCGCTTCCATTTAGGTGAGCATCGATCCTACCGGCGTGATGTCGTGTGATCACAATTACGTGATGCGCTCCGCAGCTAGCGGTCGTCTTGGACAGTGCGAACATGTTTATTTGGGAGCCCGAGCCTGGACGAAATCTGGCGTAAATTTCAGTCTGTACACCGTTACGAAAAAGAAGCGCAAAATCTCTGGGCAGAAGAGTGAGAAAAAGTGGCTCCGCGCAATGAAGCACGCTGTCTTGTAACCGACGCCCATGCCCAATCTATCCACACACAGCCTTCTCCACCACGCCAGCGTCTATAGACCCATCCGGCCCAGTGGAATGTGGCAGGCATCCTACCAACAAGAAAGCGTCAAAACAGACGACCGGGGATCGGTCCTCTTCATCGGGGCGCCCGAGACAGCGGGTTGAAAACCGCGCGCGGCTTCTGTACTCCGTTCGCCGCCAAGCTGATAGTGCGGTGAAGGCTACGTACTCATTCAACCAATCATACGCCTACCTTTCGCCACGTGATCACGTTCCTCCCTCCCATACCCACGCCCAGAGACATTCTGGTCACGTGACGAAGGGGAGGCGTTTGATTGGTCCGGCGAGCCCGTAGCTCTCACCGCACTGACAGCTGTAGGGTTGAACGGAGCGTACAATCTCTCCCGGGGTCCGTGCTTCAGGAGGGCAGGTGGGCTTCCGGCGCAGCTACGTCTTCGTCAGAGCGCGTGGTCCGGACTCCGGGGACGGATTGGGGTCGCCAGGAGAACGCCGCCATGGTTCCTCCCGCCGGCCGTGTTCGTGTGGGCTTCCGGAGGCAAGCTGGTTTGTCCCGCTAAAAATGGGGGGAGGGGGAGACCTCCGCCGCCACGGACACTGATGGAGGAGCGGGGATCTCCTTGTGCTAGGGTGACGGGGGACAGCAGGAGCCAGCGGTAAACCCTCGGTTCGAGCCATGCGGGCCTGTCTGCGGGGCCTTTGTTCTCCTTGTCACACTTGGGATAGGGGCTGAACAGGGTAGAAAGTCTCATCCTTGGTATTGGACCACGGGTGTTTCGGGATGAGATCTGCTGTGGTGTCCGAGCTCAGCAGATCTCGTCCCAAAACAACCGTGGTCCAATACCCAGGATGAAACTTTCCACCCTCGTCAGCTCGGGGAATGGACATGGGACAGCGGGGGGGGGGGGGGGGGGGGGGGGGGGGGGGGATTTAGGGTTTAGTATGCAGACGTATTTCTTGGAAACCCCGAAATTCGTAATGGCGGGAGGTATCGCCGGCACTCATGTCACTTGTATGCGTTTAATGTGCATTAAATTAAACTTTGTAGCAATTCACTCCTTAAAAAAAAAAAGACAGTCCGCTCAGAGAGTACGGAGGGGACCATGCGGTGGCGTGGCAACCGGGGGGGGGGGGGGGGGGGGGTGCTATTTGTGGCGGCATCCGCAAACCCCCCCCCCCCTCCACTTTATTGGTTGGGTGCAATCTTGGGGAGTGAAGGTGGGGGGGGGGGGGGGGGGGGGGGCTACGGAAGACATAAGGGACCCGGGTGCTGGATGGCCTAGCTACGCCACTGGGATCATGTGCTACGCCATTGATGCACAGTGCTTAGGCATTCTCTGGGACCCAGCGGTTTGTCAACAATAATCATTAATCGCCCCTCCCCCCCAATTTTTTTTTTTTTTTTTTTTTGCGGTTACGAGACATGTTGTGAATTGGAACTCAGTTCGTGGGAATTCCCTGGCTGCTGCCCGTCTCGGGGAATGACACAACCCACCGGTTCAGTAACACGTAGGCATTTAATGACCACCATCGCCCGCGCCGCGACCCCAAGGGGCCCCGTGCATATCTAGATATACGCTGCGACAGCCCTTTACCAGCGGCGGAGCGCCGCTCGCGTGGACAGTTGCCCTTGGCCCCCCCTCGCGGTGCAAATGACCACTCCGATTTGGCCGAGGGACAACCTGGGCCTACGCTTTGGAACCCCAGGTTGCCCGCAAGTTGCACTTGCGGTCTGAGCGTATAGTTACAAAAACGCGCTCCGGGCTTTTAGCCTTCCTGCAAAGCACACAGGCTCGTGCTGTGTGTGCAAGTGCAGATCAGTGCAACGGTCTCGTACTTGTTTGCTGCTGATACCCCCCGCCGACGAGTGGCTCTTGGCTCAGAGGCCGGGCTTCTCGCCCAAGCTTTCATCTCGCCATCCGGACCATTTGGTGTAACCCTCCGCGGCGTTGTTCCGCATTTAGAAACTCCGATTGTCGATTTCTTCGGGCAGAAGAAACAGCGTTCCTTCCGCTGGTTTCCTCTTTCGAAACCCCCCCACCCGGGCGTCTCTTTCTCCGGGCCTTTTTCGCCGCCGCGCCATCTTGCGAGCGCCTGGACTCTGAACCCGGGCGCCACACGGCGCCGCTGCCTACGCATCGTGACGTCAATTCTGCGGGTTGCCGCAGAGGTTTCCGCGGAGTGTTCCCGAAGCTCCGACAGAATCGGGCGCAATCTTTTCCCGAGTGTTTGTGCGTGTGTTTCGCTTTCTGGCTCTTCCCATCCTCCGACGCGTTGCAGCTTCCGGCCAAACTTTGGCGTTCGTCTCGAAGATGCCCTTCGATAGGTTGCGGACAGGCAAGAACCCAGCCTTCGGATTGGTGGAGCCCCTTCTTTCCTCCCCCCTTTTTTCCTCCCCCTTCCGGCGGTGGAACCAATCGGGCGGGTCCGTGGTCGAACTGCCGCTGGGCCAATCGCGAGTGCCGCCTTCGAAAATCAATTAGAGTAGCGAAGCGCGTCGGCCGGCGTTCCGGCGTGACGCCATCGGCGCCGTTAGCGCGCGCCGGCGGCGGCCGCGCATCGACGCCCGTTCGGCGCCCACCAATCAGCTCGCCGATCGATGGACGCTGTTTGCCGTCGTCGGCGAGGCCGGGCATGCGCAATGCCGACGCCGCTGCGACAAACAAAAAGGTCCGCCGAAGAAGACGGAGAGGAGAGCGGCCATCCATCTGCCGTCGCGCTCGCCCTCGGCCGCCGCCACGTCGCCTCTCCTCGGGCTTCGGCGTCCGATCGGCCTTCGACGTCGTCGGCGGAGCAAAACTCCGCCCCCGGATCGGACGGGAACCCACCTTCGGCGACCGCCTCCCGCCGCGCCGAACGCGTCTTCGTTTCCAAGAGCGCCGTCCCCCCCACCGTTTGATTCGGGACACGCCGATAGCGCCGATCGGAGACGCCTCTGCCGAGAACGCCCCGCAGGAGCCGCCATACGCTCGATGCACCCCCGCTCTTTTTTTTCTTTGCACCTCGGCGGGACCGAAGACGTTCGCCCGCACTACCTACAGGGACATACTTCCAAACAGCGGCGTCAGAACATAGGGGGAGGGAGGGGGGACACCTCCCTTCAGTCTCTCCCCCCCCCCCCCCTGTCGCCCCCTCTCTCTTTCTAGACTGTACCAGTACACCGTTTTGGAATACACACACACACGCTACCGCTTGTCGACAACGTTGCAAAGATGCTTCATCCAGCACTCTGACGAAGCTGAATTATTATCTTTCTTCACTAAAAAAAAAAAAAAAACTGCCGCGGGAGTGTTGTTTTTATTATAGCAGAGTCTCGCTTTGCGACGCACGCGTCACATTTGTGCGCGCGGGCAATCTTGCGAATGTTCGGAGCAGCTGGTCCCTTCGCTCGATCAATGTTGCCTTGGCGGAAACCCCAGAACATGCCCTCTGCGGCAACGGCGGGCTTCACCGCTACTTCGTTTCTAATGCCACCGTGGCCCGGAAAAGGGCTTTCCCACCGCGCACCGAGATGCGCGTGTATAATAAAAAACAAAACAAAAAAAAAGTCCTTTTTTTTTTTCCCCCGCAAGCTCTGATCTTGTCTTTCGCGCGGAACTAACTCGCATTCAGCTAAGGGTGCACTGTGGGTTTATCGACGTTCGAAGTACCGTTCGAATAGTTAAAAACAGAAAACCCTTTACTCCGCACGGACTATTCCAATAATCGCCTTCTGAACGCCGCCATCCTTTTTTGCCGGGTAGCTCTCTTGTGCAGAATATGGGACGCTGTGGCGCGCGTTCACCGTCCAGTGACTCGGCATTTTTCACCCCCGCGATGACCGCTAGAAGGGTGTTGGACGGGCAAGGACAAACACAGTGGACAGCGCGTGCCTAGCCCCCCTCAAAAGCGCCTGCGAAAGCGCAAAGCGACGGCGGCCTTTTCCGGTTCCCCATCCCTCTCCCGGGCGTCCCATCGCGGCCCCGTCCTCCTCCTCCTCCCGAGGGGCGCGGGAGAAGGGAGCCTCCGCTGCCTCCGCGTCCTCCCCCGCGCGCGTGCGGCGAGGCCGTCACGTGGTCGAGTCTCCGCCCGCGTCCGCCTGGCGGCGCGCCTTCTCCGCCCGTCCCGGGGCAACAGGTTGACTCCGGCGCGCCGCTCGCTGTCCGCCGACCTGGGAGCTCGTCGCGGACGCAGCCTCCGGCCATCAGCCCTCCACGTCGCCGACGACGTTCACGCAGCCGCTCCTGAACCGCGGTCCCGCTGTTCTACGTCGCCCGGAGTCCGCCGTCTGGCGCTCTAGATCCCGGCCGGCGTCCTTGAAGCGACGCTAACCCCCCCGGAAGTTGATCTCGGCTGCCGGCAACCCTTCCAGAGAGCCCCCTCCGCGCGTGTCGTGAACCGCGTGTTGTCGGCACTCCATCGCCCGACCGCGGGATTGTCTTTGCCGACTGTTCAGCTTGCTCAAGGACGAGCCCCGAGTTCGGCCCGGGTCGTTGGAAGTCGTCCGTGGTCGTCTTCGTCCGGACGTGTGTGTTCGCTGCCGCGTGTGCGTGTGTCAACTGGTCCCTCCCCCTCTCCGTCTCGCACCTTTGGTCGTTGTGGTACTTCCTTCGTCGTCGTCGTTGTTGTTGTGTTTGTGGTGCTCAAGGCCCTCGTCGTCGTCCTCGTCGTCATCATTCGAGTTCATCATTCTCGATGTGAGTATATCAGTTCCCGTTTCGTAAACTATCGGGCCTTTCCTGACGTAACGTCGGCGAGGTGTGCCTGTGGGCGTGTCCGCGTTTGTTTCTTTCTTATTTTTTTTCGACGTTTGTTTTTAGCAATTCAAGTTACTACAGTCTGTAGCGCGGCCATCGTAATTGAGATACGTATTGAGTTCCAAGAAATGCTCCTTTATTGTTTGTATCCGGTAGCACGGACGAGTATACGTCCTTGTTACAATCTACACCTAGCATTACCAAGCCGTCGCAGTCTTCATATATCGTGAACGTTGAATTCGTGTAACAATGTAATCTGCCGAAGCACGAATGTTAACGAAGCTCCTCTCGGGCCTCACCCATCCCGTCCCTTGCTCGTCTTCTTCACAATGGAGAGAACCACTCGTTGTCCTCCTCTAGGTCGGGCGCCTACTCCTCGACTCTCCTACCACAGAACCGCAATCTTCGGTCAGAGCTGTGCATCGCCTCAATATTCAACGCGCTACGTTCGCTTCCCACTTCCTCTAGGTTAGCCCGCTTGTGGAACCCATTCATTCGTATACACTCGATGATTACAGGTTTTGAGGTCACATTGTGGCCGCGACGACCTGCGAACCTGATAACGTAGCTCGGCAGGAAGAACACAGTCAGCTGAACCAACACAGACATGTCCTCTTGTGCCCGAGTCCCACTAGACGGACAAACTGAAACAACCGACACCGAGAGGCATCAACGCGTACAGCGTGCACGTGAAGGTACTTTTGGCAGGCTTGGGTTTGTCGCTGTAGTTGGGCTCGGCCATTAGCTCTATAGCGATGTGCCCTGCCGATGGCGAGCATCAAAATCAAGGCTTGTCCGGGTTCCACGCGACCGTTTTTTTTTTTTAACCACACTTTTTAAAACATTAACTGTTGTTCGCCTTGGTGGCTGAGAGAGGAGGCCCGGGATATTCCATGTTAGCTTTCCTGTGCCCACTTGATTTCCGGCTTGTCTCGACTCTAGTAGGCGTTTGTCGTACCTCGACTGGATACACGTTTTACGGTCAACAACTTATAGATGGGGGTACCCTTTTCCGGTACCTGACGGATAGCAAGCAGGACAATTGCATTCCATGAATGACTCGGCAATCCCTCATCATGCGTGTCTTGAAACATCTTTCGGTCATAAAATAACCGATATACTAGAAGATGAAAAAAAAAATCGAAGAAAATATAATATTCGGCAGGCAGACAGCGACGAAGAGAAATTGCTTTTGACAGTCTGGCTTACGGGGGATGGAACCTTATTTCTTCCTTTTGTTCCAAGCCGCGACCCAGATTCGAAACCCGCATTCGTATACGGCTCTGCGAACACTGCTTGGAATTGAATAACTCAGCTTCATAGCTTTCGCTTCAACACTGCGATAGTCGCCGGTATGTCTCTAGCCATGAATACTGTCGCCCTTATCACCAGTATTCGCACACCCCTACACAGGAGTCGATATATGTTTGATCAATTTTTATCATTTCTGTCCACTCATCCACCAACAAATCCCAATTTCCTAGCTTTATCGAGTGAGGTAGCGACCTCCTCGATAACGTCCCAAATCCGTAAGTTGTCTGCAACCATCTCAAGAATTACCTTTCGTTGTTTTCTTGGTGTATCGGTTCCGGCGAGTTTTCCCGCGGCACGTTTTCGAATTATCGCCCTATTTCGTGTGATTTAAACGGGGAAAACCTCATTACAATTCAACTTCGGCGCATGTCGACACTTTACGCTGTGTGTATACGTGCGCATGAAATTATGTATACACATACGGGTAATACTTCCCGGTTTACTGCGGCACTCTGCATGATATTACAGCATGTAAAATACTAATTAGATGCAGCTGTTTTACGTATGACTTTCGACACCTAAAGCGCTTTCTTTTTTTATTGAGGTTTAAAAGTTTTCGATTGAAGTTCGTTCGATTTCCGTGGAAATTCAACGCGACGTGAAAGCGACAAAACAACGTAAATACTGAGAAAATGGGTTTTTGAGAATCGTCGATTCGCTCGTTGATTCATCTCGAATTCGTTCATGGTGGGCAACAATATACGTATATCCCAACGATAATGGATGGTTTTTATGCCTTTTCTAATCCGTTGTTCTGCTGGTCTCTTTGCTCTGCGCGTTAGCGTCCCACTAGTCAGAATCGTTCTTGCCCAGATCAGGTGGAAGCGTCAAAGAAACTTTATATTGGTATCAGGGTCGTGCGCGTGCTCCAGGAAACCGCTGTATCTCCATATGAATATGATGCGGAGTTTTAAAAGATTTGGTTTCTTATATCTTAACTTTCCGTTTAATTGGTATTCGTTGTTTGATAAGAAATCTACATTTATTTTGGTCGAATGACGGAGTGTTTTAATTTGTCATCCACTTGTACACTTGTATCGAAATATCGCGTTTGCAAAATGCTTCTCTTGCCTTCTGAGACATGTTTGTTCTAGCAGATAAATATTCTTTATATCTACAGTCCTAAAACGTGTGACATCGGTACTTATAAGAATCAGGATGCACGCTAATTGATTTTAGACTGCCATCACAATCCTCCCGAGTGTCGTCATTTTTGTTTGCGCACTTTCAGGCTTCGATGTTCAGTCGTCCAGCGACGCAATCCTATTTTCTTGCTCGTGTATCTCACTAACGGTGATCTTCACCTTGACAAAATAATACGTAAACGAGTGAGCTCATCAGAGTTACACATTCATTTTAAAATCCTAGATTAACTAAAACACGAATAGAGAGACAATCACAACAGTTTGAGCCTTGAGGACGTATCTCCACCACAAGGCGGAGCAAAAAAAAAAAAAAAGTAATTTTCAAATGTTTACGTTTTTTGTAAAATGCTATTTCGATGCAGATATGGGCTCGTTTGGGAGCCCCTCAGTTAAGTAAAAACTCGGTCTTTTGTTTCTGCTTCGTCTGAGTATAAGGTAGAAGCAAAAACATGAAGCTGCTCGTGGTCCGAGCAATTTCTGGGGCTATTATAATACTCAGAGGTCGGTATCCCACGAAGGAGTCCTTTTTTTTTATGCAACGTCATTTTTTTATTATTGCAAATGTTACGGTTCTATTGTCAGCGAATGGCACACGCACCGGTTAGCGTCACGTACAATTGGGTAGGAGTACGAGGCCTTCAGGGGCGGCACGGAGTTACTTTACAACTGGGAATCAGTCGTGTATCCCTGCCTTTGGATACACCCGGAAACGCCGGCGTATAACATCTGCGTACCCCGTTGCCGTGGTTCGGCACTCTACATCAGATGAGAGTCGAAACCCCGAATGTGTATAGTGCCGTGTTATTTCTTTATAGAACACGCAGGACAGTAACGAATCCACTTTCCCGATTCGTGGCCCTCACGATCGCGTCCCGTCGTTTGTCTTGCACGTCCAGAACGTTCTTCGCATGCGTACATATAGGAGCGAGTTGTAGCTGGCTTCGCCAAGACCGATCGGCATGTCCGATTACGCTCGTTTATTCCGTATCACTCTTGTCCAAGTAGCCATGCGTTCGAAGTCCATTCCACCGGATGATCGCTCAGCAAGCAAACATCTTGACGAAGAGAAACCGACAAGAGTGCCTCAGCGTACGGCACGTGTACTCGCTCGTCTCACGTGCCTCCGGTTTGTTTCTAACCATGGAAGAGTTTGAAATAACCTCTGGAGTCGGAGGTGGAAAGTCGCCATAGTCACGCGCAGGGTGGCAGGGAGGTATTTCCGTTGTAGCGCCTCCAGAACGAGGTTCCCGCCTTCGATTACGCTTCCACGTTTCCTGAGCCTCGAGTGTGCAGGCGCTGTCGAAGCACGGTGGAAGGCAACGGGAGTGTGCTGGGCTAGGGCACCCTATGCTGGGCCGGCTCGCTGGACCAGCGTCTCAGCTGAGACTGAATGAAAGAAAACACTGCAAAGGCTGGGGCGCGCGAGCGTCTCGAGACGCGGTTCGAGTCCCGCTCAGCTCGTGCGGTGGCTTTGGCAGTGCTTTCTTTCGACCAGTCACAGCTAAGACGCTGTTTCCAGCAAGCCGGCCTTGGAGTCTGGGCAGTTGAAAGAGACACCCTGCACTTCTTGTCCCGTTAATGCTCCCCGACACAGACGGGGCCCATCCGCGTTCGCAAATATTCAAACCAATATGGCCGTCGGAACCTAGAATTGCATTTTAAGCGGAGAAAAAAAGAAAAAGAATGGATCATGAAAGTAACTCGCTCGAGTATTAAATGTAGATGCTTAACTACTCACACTATTACTCTTCTACTGCTTCAGAGCCTAATGGCGTGTGCACCTACATCACTTGCAGCTTGAACAACCCAATACCTGGTCAGTCATGCTCGTTGCATCAATGAGACAAACATCCCTCGATGAGAAATGTCAGAAAGCTATTCTGAAGCGATGAATGTAGGCATGGTTGCCCAGACCCTGCGTTCCTTATCAAATGGTTGGTGTCCATAGAATCCAGCGAAACGTAGAGCGCCTCGCTGGATTCTTATGCTTAAAAGAGCACAATATAGTTATATTATACGTCATTGATTAAGTCGAGGGCGGAGTAGATCTCAACGAATCAGACTTTACGTGTGTCGTGGATAATCCCGCAACCGCACTCTTTTTTATTTCCATTCTCTTCAATACAGAAATACGCACTGTAGCCAATACAAAACTATGAAAGTATGTTCTTTTATTTTCATTCTTTTTTTAAATAACGGTGTTGATAATGGACAGACTGTCAGTACGCGGGCGAGCTGGTTGACAATGATGGTATTCTGGGTTTGACCGTTTGTTCTCTCGTGAATGTGTATGTGTTTTGTATTTGAAGCTGCTTTAAACAAAGGAGCTGTCTACGTAGTAGGTGGTTGAGAGTGGCTGTGTGGGTATATATAGGAGGCTGGAGAAATAAACCAGTTAGTTGAGTTTGAGACGTTCCCTTCTGCGTCTGTTCCTTCGACTAAACGACATGATTGATAATCTACCTTGCGCAAGACGATATA